GTAGCCACTTCTCATGCTGTCATACTCTGACCTGAGTACATGGTGTCCTCTGCTAGACTGCCCTTTCCTGCTTTATCTTCCTGGAAAACTCTTACTCATCTTCCAAGGCCAGGGCCAATGGCCCCTTTACTGGGAAGCCTTCCCAGCGAATCTGACTTGTCATTCTGTTTTCGGGACCTGAGGGGGTGGGGACCTGGTTTCTTCGTACATGTCTGCTGCATCATGATCACGAGGAAGTGTCTCCCTTCTTGCTGTGAGCTCCGAGAGCTCTGCGGGCTGGCCCATAATAAGTTTGGGAAAGGTACCACTAGTCCGTCTCCTAGCCCTGGTAAAAAATTAGCATGGCATTTCCTCATTTGCCTATTTTCTCATTTGCGTTAGTGGAGGCCACCATCCTCCTATGGAGTGGGTCCTCTGGGCATATTCACTAACATGGTGTGAGGAAATCGCTTGGCTATAGTGGGTGCTAGATAAATGGTCCATTTAGTGGTCTTCTGAGGAAGATCCCCCAAGATCATTTCAGATACCTTCATGTCTTCATTGCCCCCAAGGCTGATCTCCCATCCCCCTAACTTCTTCCCTTTCAGGGATCACCCCTCTCTAACTCACCCCAGCTCATGCTCTACTCTCACCTGCTCTACTCTCACCTGCTCATGCAGCTTGTCCTCAAGGCCTGAGTTTATCTTGTGGGGCTTGACTCCATCCTGGCCCATGGAGTCTTAGGCTGGGTACCCCACACAGCAGTCACCAAAGCCAGAAGCAGGAACAATGTCATCTATCAGGCCGTTCCTGTCAAGCCAGTCAGAGGTGGCCAAGGCCTGGGGGAGAGGCAGCAACCACAAGACTCTGGACCAGATTTTGTCTTCTTCCCAACCCCACATCTTTTTTTTTTTTTAAAGATTTATTTATACAAGAACTGGGGTACAGGCCAGAGGTGCAGGGGGGTGAGAGGATTCACCAAAGTGGGGAACAGAACAGGAGAAACGACTGAAATACACTGCTGAGGGGAGCAGCGGGTGAGACAGGAGAGGTCTGCTGCACCATGTGGGTTAGCTCCCTGGCCGGGGATCAAACCCGTGCTGCAGTGGCTGTGGATAGCTTCATAGGTAGTGGCAGGGGTCAGGAGTGAGGAGAAAGAGCTCCAACCAGCCTGAGGAAATGTCATCAGAGAAAATAGCCTCACAGGAGGCTGGGGAGACTACCTCCTAATCCCACTTTCCCTCCCTGTGCTGCCCCCTACCTCAGCCCTCAGCCTGGGACAGAAGGTGTCCCCACACCTGCCCACATCTTTTCTAAGCCCACCAGGACCTCTTGGTCAGCCCCTGTCAGGGAAAGGGGCAGGCTTTGTCTAGGAAGCAGCTCCATTGTCTTTCATCAAGAGGCTGGTTAAATGAATTATGGTATACCCACCCAGTGGAAGTTAAGCTGGTAAAAAAGAATGAGAGAGTTCTTGGTGATGTATGCGTAAAAATCTCCAAGCACATTGTTAAGTGAAAGGAAAGGGCAGGATCATGATCAATAGAATATTATGTTTTGTATAAAAAAATGAGGGGGGGGAATTTATGTGTTAATTAAGAAAAGTTTGGAAAGGTGGTATAAAAGGAAATTTAAAAAGTGGTTGCCTTGGGGGAAGATACAGGATTAGGGACTAGACTTTTCCTGGAAAACTTGTCTATACTGTTTCGTTTGGGGACTATGTAAAGCATACCTTATTTAAATATAATATATGTGTATATGCATATAAATATATAAAACGTTGAGTGAAAAGAGCAAGATACAGAATGATTCATTTGATTTCATATTCATAAAGTGTGTAAATTTCTTTTTTTTTATAGAGGCATGTTTTTATTTATTTATTTGTTTGTTTGTTTGTTTGTTTTGTTCATACATGCACTGGGTACAGTCAGAAGCGCAGAAGGGTGAGAGAATTCACCAGAGCCAGAGCGGGGAGCAGAGCAGGCAGAAGGACCGAAGTACACTGCTGAGGGGAGCAGCGGGCGGCAGGAGAGGTCTGCGGGCCATGTGGGACCCTCCTCCGGTGGCCGGGGAGCAGCCGGGGATCCAATTGGGCAGCTTCGCAACCCAGCGCTCAACTGCTGCGCCACCGGGGAGGCCCAAGTGTGTAAATTTCAATAGAAGGGTATGGTATATAACTTTCAAAATCAATGCTACATATCAGCTATGGATGCTATACATGTGTTTGTGAAAGTATAAGCATGAGACCATCACTAACCCTAGTTCCTTCACTATATTTCTAGAAAAACGCTATGCATTTACACCATATAGTATCCATTTTGGGGTGCATATGTGGTAGCATACTGTTCTACTCCTGTTTTGGGGAGGAGGGTTGTTGTTGTTGATTTATTTATTTATTGTAATTTCATTGTACAGTTATGCTTTTGACAAAAGAAAAACTTCACAAACCCAAGTTATCCATATTTACACATGAGTATTGTCATGTCTGACAGCATAATCTTCAAGTTGCTTCTTTATGCCTTGTGTGAACTGATGTTCATCAAAATGGTCTCTATGGCAAGCTCTTTTTATTGGCCATTATAAAAACAAAAAAGGTTTAGAAGGAAAAGTTTATTTTCCCAAGTTAAAAGTGCTTGGTCCTTAGTCTTTATTTTCCAAACATTACAGCAGACAGAAAATTAATACTAATCTAGGAAGACAAATGATGCTGCTCTCGTTTTTTATAATGTATATTGATGTTTTCCCATTATGATTTGGGTAAAACTTCTAATTCATGGCATCAACTAGCAGAATACCTCTTTTGGAGCAGAGTCTGTGGCTTCAGTCTGTGGGGTTCACTGGATTACTTCCACTTTTGGCTATTGTGAATAGTGCTGCTGGGAACACAAGAGGGCGAATATCACTTCATTGTATGCTTGTTTAAATCATGTCCCTTCCAAGCCTCCCTGGTGGTACAGGGGTTAAAGTCTGATTGCTATCAAGCAATCACCAGCCACTGTGGCCTGAGTTCAATCCCTGGCCAGGGAGCTAATCCACATGGTGCAGCAGACCTCTCCTGTCTCGCCTGCTGCTCCCTCAGCAGTGTATTTCAGTCCATCCCCCTGTTCTGCTCCCCTCTCTGTCTCTGGTGAATCATCTCACCCACCTCCCCCCCTCCTCTGGCCTGCACCACAGCTCTTGTATACATACATAAATAAAATAGGGCCTCCCTGGTGGTGCAGGCGGTTGAGCACCGCACTGTGAAGCTGTCCGCAGTCTCTGCAGCACGGGTTCGATCCCAGTCGGCCGGGGAGAATCCCACATGGTGAAGCAGACCTCTCCTGTCTTGCCTGCTGCTCCCCTCAGCAGTGTATTTCGTCAGTCTGCCTGTTCTGCTCCCGGCTCTGTCTCTGGTGAATCCTCTTACCCTCCCGCGCATCTGAAAAGGGTAGACATTCCCAAGACTTAAAATTTTACTCTTTAATAAAAAACTTTGTAAAAACCAGAGGCACATGGAAACATAATCAAGTGGAGAAACATCTGATCAAATCCTCACATCAAGAAAGGAGGAAGGCTAAATTACAATATTGGTTGAAGAGGAAACTTGAGTATAGAGAGGGGGAAAATAATGCTTGTTAAAAGTCACACATCTGTTCTGGCCGAGAGGGTGGTGGGTGATACAGCTTAATGGGGTTAAGTAGGAAAGCACCTCTGTTGCCAGAAGACATAAGGATTTCTGAAAGGGAGGTTGAGTCAGAGATTACTAGTACAGAGTCATCAGCGAATAAGTGAGAGGGTTAATGAGGCTGACCACTAAGCCGATTTGGTCCAGGCCTGGGACTTCCCTAGCTGAAGAATGTTGTGCCTCAGACTGAACTGTACATAACCTCGAATGCATAACTGAATTGCCAATTTTCAGAGACCAGTGAATGCACAGCAGTTGTGCAGAGTCTGTTTTCTCCACTGGACTGAGAGGTCTTTGAGGGCAAGGATCATGCTCCTAAATTTAACTCCAGCTTCAAGCACAGCCTGGAACGTGGTAGAGACTAGAATATTTTTGTTGAAGGCACACATAAATCACTGCATGCGCCCAAATGGGATATTGTGGGTTAGAGGATCACAGGAGGGGCATAAAATCACCCAATGATTCTGGGGTAGAAGCCGCCTAATTTTCTTGGGACGCCGCAGAACAAACAGTCCTAGTACTACGGCAAGTTACTGCCAGTTATTTTTCAGCAGACGTAGGCGAGCAAACACCGCCTGAGGACACGAGGGCAGGGCCGGGCTGGAGAGGCCGATTGGCTGCCACTCCGGGCTGGACCAAGCTAATAAGAGCAGCAGATTTGCATCCCCAGCAAGGGTGTGAACGTCACATCCGGGCTGGTGGGCGGGAGCGAGCAACAAAAGGAGAGCCAAGGCGCATGCGCGTGGCGTGCCCCGGGCCTGGCGGGAGCTTCCGCTCAGGCGGAGGGAAGAGCTTCCGGGTCGCCGCCGGCTATCGCCGTCCGGCGCGGTAAGTACGGAAGCTGGGCTTGGGCTGCTGCCTCCCTGTGCGGTCTTTCCTTCCTGGCCGGGAGAAAACCAGTTACGCTGAGCCGCCTCCTCAGGAGCTCCATGCTCTGGCTCCCTTTAGCATTAAGGGGTGCCGGCTCATTGGGCGCTTCCTCGAGACTCAGCCCCACCCCGCGGGGTCCGTCGCTCATTGGTGCCCACGCCCGTCTCCCAACATTTCTTCCAGTTAATTGGCCTTGCTCAGGCCCCGCTCCTTTTCGCGGTTAGCGTTGCTGCCAAGGCAAATTCCTGTGTGAATCCCGCCCCCTGCCTTCTTCCTGTTGGTCAGCTTCGGATTCATTATGATAATGAGCGAAGAATAGGCGATAGCTTTGCGGCCTGGCCTTGGATGTTAGGAGTCTTGCTCTCTCTGGCCTCTCGCTGCTTCTGGGTCTTGAGGGTGGCTGCTCTTGTGCCTGGTACACGAACGGGAATGCTGAGGTCCACGGAAGGGCAGATAAACTAGGGCAAAATCAGAACTAGACGTAGGTCCTTTGGTCCTGTTCATTTCTTCTGCTGCCTCCCTTGGATGTCTTATCTGTCTGGTGCTCGAAATCCCCAGTTACTGTATGATCTAGAGCTAGTCTTTGTCGCTGGGCCTCAAGTTTCCTGTTAGCTGAGAGGTTTAAATTCAGATTGTATTGCTGGTCAGCTTTTGCAAGTGCTCAATCAGAGTTGAGTTTACTAGTTCATTCACATGTTCGTTCATTCTTTTGTCTCTTTATTCAACCATTGCCTTTAGAATGTCTTACTGAACCACTCGCTAAGGGAACACCGTCCCCACCACTTCCCCAATTTGGTTGTGATTCATGAGAGAGATCATTAAGGTCCTAAATTGGTGATACTGGATGGGCGTGGTATAGAATCAGGGGCAAAAAGTAGATTTTAGTGTTTGGAAAAGGTAGAGATAGTTTCAGTAGAGCCTTGCTGCCGCTAATTTTGTAATGCCAGCCTGCATTCTGGATTTCTATCTCCGCACTTGGCTTCCTTTCTCTTCCTTCTTCAGACAGCTTACAAACAGCTTTACTTACCCATCACTTTACTTAATTATATAATGGTGGTGGTGGAGTATAATTGTCATTCCCATTTTACAGATGAGGAAACTGAGACTCAGAGAGGTTAAGTGACTTGGCCAAGGTCAAACAGTAAGTGGTGGAGCCAGGATTCAAACCCAGGTCTGTCTGATTCCCACAGGGGAGAGCTACTTCCTGGCTACCTTCTCTACCCCACCCCCAAATCAAGCTGTAACTAAATAAAACCCAAAACCAAATACAACTGAGAGCTGGATTTACCTGACCCTTTCCCTCAGTCTAGGAGCCATGTCCACCTTGTTCCCCTCACTCTTTCCCCGTGTGACTGAGACACTGTGGTTTAATCTGGATCGACCCTGTGTGGAGGAGACAGAGCTGCAGCAGCAAGAACAGCAGCATCAGGCCTGGGTGAGTGATGATCTAGCACAATAGTGGAACCTCAGTCAGGGATCCCCTTTCACTGGTTATGACCCAGCCTACTCTGGAGATCTGCCCTGGAGGCACTTTTTGCCCTTAGCTTGGAAGAATTAGGCTGGGATTAGGAGCATTTAGATTCTTATCTAACTTGTTACCCTAATTTGTTGGGCCACCATGGAACCTCTGCACCAGACTGGAACCCAAGCTCCTGATACTCAGCCCAGGCTCTTTCCCTAAAGCATAGGAAGTAATAATTTTGACTATTTTGAGGACCTAGCAGATGTTATGTTCTAGGCTGATTATATCTCACTTCACTCTCACCATAATCTCACGAGAAAACCAAGGCCCGTAGATTTTCATTAGTTGGATCAAGTTCGTAAGTAAGTAGCAGATGACAGGAGAGAAAGGGAAAATCGTGCTGAAAATTGGAAGTTGTTTTCTCCATACTTGGGGGTCTTCTTGAGGGCAGAATGCGCCGGTCTCATGCCCTGACCTTCTTTACTTGAACCATGGCCCTGCTTTCCTCCCATTTTGACCATAGCTCCAAAGCATCGCAGAGAAAGACAACAACCTGGTACCTATTGGCAAGCCGGCCTCAGAGGTGAGTGGCTCTGCGGACTGAGAGATAGGGGGTCCAGGATGGGCTGAGCCTCGGTTCTGATTCTGAAGATTCTACCTCTGACCCCAGAGCAGCTGTGGTCCTCAGCTCTGGTATAGGCCAGAAGAGGGGGTGAGTGTCAGGTCCAGCACTAAGATCCTGCAAAACATGCACCAGGGTTATTCATTGGCCCTAGAGAGGGCTCCAATTGGGCCAGGCCTTGAACGGTGTCCAGGCAGGCCCATAAAGCCTGTGGGCTCTTCCCTACCTCATTAGCACTATGATGACGAGGAAGAGGAAGATGAAGACGATGATGAGGATAGTGAAGAGGACTCAGAGGATGATGAGGACATGCAGGACATGGATGAGATGAATGACTACAATGAGTCCCCTGATGATGGCGAGGTCAATGAGGTAAGTGGGGTATGGGGAGGGCCTCTGCTCCTGGACCCTTGCCCTAACCTAACCGGTGATCCAGGGGTAGAGAAACTCTGGATCCAGCTAGTGGCAGGATCTGTTACTAGGGCTGGCTGGGTGGCTGAGACCCCTCCCCACCCACACCCAGCCTCCTCTCCAGGTGGACATGGAAGGCAACGAACAGGATCAGGACCAGTGGATGATCTAGGAAGATAAGGCAGGGCAGCCTCAAGGAGCTTCCAGGCCTGCCCAGCCTACCCTGAACTTCCTGCAGAACCAGCTGATTGCTCCAGTGCCTGAAAGCTCACCCTTGGGCACCAACTCGGCTGCTGCCAGGACCTGATCTCCTTGGCTCCTTCCAGGTCAACACTCTACCCTTGAATCTCCAGGGCCTGAGCCTACCGTGTCTTTTTGAATGATACCTTACCCTTGGTTGCCAGGTCTAATCTCTTTCTAATTCTCTTTAATAAAGACACAGGACTGATCTTTTTTTCCCCCCACATCTATTCCTTGTTTGTTGGTGAGACCAAGAGGTATCCAGCATCTTTTGAGCTTTGGGGAGAGGGCACTCCAGGGACTTCGGGCAAACCTAACTGGTCATGTAGGCTGGGGCTAGGAAAGGCCAGGGTGGTCCTGGCCCTGGGCTAAGGCTTCTTTGCCATTTCCTCTGGCCCAATTTGCACCCAGCCATTCTTGCCAGGCCTCTCAGTGTTTACTTTTTCATCCAATCCCACACAGGATGGCATGGGCTAGGCAGGGGAATTTTGTGACGCCCAGAGCTGGGAGGTCCCTGGAACCTTTTTCACTAGATTCCTCAATGTTGAGAGTGGCTGAAATCTCAGAGCAGGGCAGGGACTCCCATGGAGGCCCCCATTCAGTGACTCAGCTGTGTTGGGAGCTCAGCCACTTGCCTGTCAGTCCATGGCTCTTTCTGGAAGCACTGGACCAGTGGACCAAGCAGCCTGAGAGAACTTTATGTCTCATATCAGTGTGGTGCCAGAATGGGGCAGTGGGGGAGGGGACCTCCTCAGCCCTGAGCCCAGCATGTATCAGTCCACTAGCAGGAGGGGTAGGTATGTTCTGATGTCCTTGCTTGAGGATGGGGATTTGGGGACAGTAGTAAGTATGCATGGGCCTGGACCTCAGCCAGGTCCTGCATAGGTGAGCTGGGCTATGCCATCCTTGATGGCAGGGAAGTCTGGGAGGCCAGTGTGGTGGAGGCGGCAGCGGTAGCGGCCACAGCTCTTGACATATTGCAAAAATCGAGGTGCGCCAGGGAAGAGCACATGGTCAGCTAACACAGTGGCCCCAGCAGGCAGCAGAGCATGGGCCTCCAGCAGCTGCAGGTCCCGTAGATAACATCGGGGCCGATGTGCCAAGAGCACCAGGTCTGCCCGACTCAGCTTGTGCTGGGTTCGTAGGTTTGGGATCACCTCCTCTGAGCTACCCACGATGAGCTCCACCTGTTGGAATGGGAAAATATCAGGATTGGTAGTATTGTGATTTCCTTGATTTCCTTCTGTCAGTGAAGAAGCTGAGATGCAGAGAGTAAGTGCTTTGCCCAAGAGTACACAGCTAACAAGCAGACTAAGGTGTGGACTCAGATTTACTAGGGTCCACACACCTTCCTCTTAATCGCTTTTTTGTCATCCACAGAAAATATGTGCAAATGACTTGGAAGAGGAGAACAGAAGCTCAAACCCTTCAGGTTGACATCTCCTAGACAGAAGTGCTTCCTTCGATTCCCCCATGAGAAGGCCTGGTTAGGGCAAGGCCTGGGCTAGCTGAGAAGAGACCAGACTGGGGAGGTAAGGGCTCACCGTGTGCTCATCAAAGCCAGCTAGCCGGATGAGCTTTTCAGCCACTGCTGCTGTGTGGGGGTTCCGTTCCACAGTGAGAAGGCGACTGTCTGGGGGCAGGGCGCGGGCTATAAGCAGTGTAGAGTAGCCATAGTGAGTGCCCAGCTCCAGCACACAAGCAGGGGCCTTCTCCTCCACCAGCTGCATCAGGATCTGACCTGTGGGGGGAGATGGGCATGGTCCTTGATAGAAAAAGCTCTCAAATGCTCACCTGCCTCATTGAAACCCCCAATCAGCTGGGGTCTCATCTTGGATTATAGCCCCAACTGCCCTATTGGGCCTCCTGCCCCTCTAGGTTTTCCTTCTTCAGTCCAGTCTCCTACCAGCCACTAGGAATCTTTCTAACAAATGAATACGACCCTGATCTCTATGATTCTAAAGGCCTTTGGAATAGAATGTGGGATCCTCAGCTTGACATTTAGGACTTTCTTTTACCTAAGCATATCCTACCTTTCCAATTTCAGCTCTCAATTCTTCCTACCTGTAGCTTGTACCACAGCCATCCCAAACAGAATCAACCACGCTGACTCATACCTTCAGGTTATATGTGGCTGCCTCTATATGTGGCTGCCTCTGCCCTTCTCCATCCTACCCTCCTTCTTCCATCTGACTGGTCAACTCAAAAGTAATTCTAGGCTCAGTTCAAATGTCAGTTCCTCCAATAGGGGCTAGGCAGAAGCCAGCACTACCAGGCTTCTGAGAGACCTTTGCTAGGTTTGCTAACATTTTGTTTACTAGAACTTCCAGTTTCATTTCCCCTTGTCTTGCTCATTGAGTATCTTCTCACCTTGGAATTGAACACATTTTTTTTTAGGATTTATTTATGCATATAAGAACAGGGGTACAGGCCAGACATGTGGGGGGTGAGAGAGATCACCAGAGACAGTGCGGAAGAGAATAGGCAGATTGACTGAAATACACTGCTGAGGGGAGCAGCAGGCGAGGCAGAAGAGGTCTGCTGTGCCATGTGGGTCACCTCCCTGGCCAGGGATTGAACTTATGCCGCAGTGGCTGCTGATAACCTCATAGGCTGAGTCTTAACCCCTTATGCGCCAGGGAGGCTCCTAATTTCTTTTCTTTTATTAAGACTTATTTATTTACAGAGGGTGTGTGTGTGTGTGTGTGTGTGTGTGTGTGTAGATTCACCAGAGACAGAATGGGGAGCAGAACAGGCAGATTTACTGAAATACACTGCTGAGGGGCGCAGCAGGTGAGACAGGAGAGATCTGCCTCGCCACATGGGTTAGCTCCCTGGCCAGGGGTTGAACTTGTGCTGCAGTGGCTGCTGATAGCTTCACAGAGCTGAGACTTAACCCCTTGTACCACCAGGAAGACCCCTGAACTAATTTCTTTTTTTCTGTCAAAGATTTATTTATTTATGCATACAAGAACTGGGGTATAGTTGCGGGGGCAGAGGCGCGTGATAAAGAGTTGTTTCCCCCCCCAAAAAAAGAACTGGGGTACAGGCCAAAGGTATGGGGGTGAGAGGATTCACCAGACAGAGTGGGGAGCAGAGCAGGCAGACTGACTGAAATACACTGCAGAGGGGAGCAGCAGGCGAGACAGAAGACTGCTGTGCCATGTGGGTCTCTCCCTGGCCGGCCAGGGATTGAATTCGTGCTGCAGAGGCTGTGGACAGCTTCACAGTGCTGTGCTTAACCCCCTGCACCACCAGGGAGGCCCCTGAACTAATTTCTTAAATAAGCACTTGTGCTGGGAGCTGGGAATTAGACAAATCCAGACAGACAGCTCCCCTGAATGGGATGTAAGAGCCCCTTTGGTGGGGGAGAAAAAGCCCAACATAGATAATTAAAGTTACAGGTTATGGGCCTCCCTGGTGGTGCAGGGGTTAAGGACAGTGCTGTCAAGCTATCGCCAACCACTGCAGCATGAGTTCCATCCACGGCTAGGGAATTATCCACATGGCACAGCAGACCTCTCCTGTCTCACCCCTCAGCAGTGTATTTCAGTAGCTCTGCCTATTCTGCTCCCCACTCTCTCTGGTGAATCCTCACCCCCTACACCTCTGGTTTACACCCCAGTTCTTGTATGTATAAATAAATCTTTTTTTTTAAAGCAGTGTATTTCAGTATATCTGCCTGTTCTGTTCCCCATTCTGTCTCTGGTGAATCCTCTCACTCCCCGCACCTCTGACTTACACCCCAGGTCTTGTATGCATAAATAAATCTTTTTAAAAAAAATACAGTTGGGCCTCCCCGGTGGCGCAGCGGTTGAGCGCTGGGTTGCGAAGCTGCCCGCGGCCTCTGCAGCGCCGGTTCAATCCCCGGCTGCTCCCGGTCACCGGAGGAGGGTCCCACATGGCGCGCAGACCTCTCCTGCCGCCCGCTGCTCCCCTCAGCAGTGTACTTCGCTTCTGCCTGCTCTGCTCCTCGCTCTGGCTCTGGTGAATTCTCTCACCCTCCCGCGCTTCTGACTGTACCCAGTGCATGTATAAACAAGCAAACAAATAAATAAATAAATAAAAACATGCCTCTATAAAAAAATTAAAAAAAAAAATGTTGAAAAAAAAAAAATACAGTTATAGGTTATGTGCTGAGATGGTCGTTCCCCTGTGTTTTAGGCCTCCACTGAGGTCTGTACTTGTGGCTTATTCATCTTGTAGTTCACTTCCCAGTGGCCTCTACCTTTTTTTTTTTTTTTAAGATTTATTTATTTATGCATACAAGAACTGGGGTACAGGCCAGAGATGCAGAGGGGCAGGTGGTGGTGGTGAGAGGATTCACCAGAGTCAGAGCGGGGAGCAGAACAGGCAGACTGACTGAAATACACTGCTGAGGGGAGCAGCGGGCAAGACAGAGAGGTCTGCTGTGCCATGTGGTTTTCTCCCTGGCCGGCCGGGGATCGAACTCATGCTACAGAGGCTGTGGACAGCTTCACAGTGCTGTGCTTAGACCCTTACGCCACCAGGGAGGCCCGGCCTCTACCTTTTACCCCAGCACCTAGCACATGCCTGGTACAAAAACAAAAAGGTGGCAATTGCCACCATCTTTGTTAGTATAGTGGTGAGTATCCCAACCTAAAAAAAGTGACAATAAATGTTTGCTGGATGAATGAATGATTTTGCACAGTCCCTTCATTTCAAGAAAAGAAAAAGACCCGGAAAAGATCAAGAACCTGTCCAATTCACCTAGCAAGATAATGGCAGATCCCAGATCTTTCTTCACCATCTTGGGGGTACTTCCTAGAGCAGGAGGCTAGGAAACACTGACCTTTGACAGGCCCCATGTGGCCCAGGTACTCGCAGTGGCTGCTCCAGTGGTCCATGGTGGTGAGGATGTGAGCGGGGTCCCCAGGCAGGGCATGGGTGAGCACATAGCTGAAGGTCCGCTCCTCAATCTGCAGCCCAGACAGGCAGTCACGGAGGCTCCGCAGCAAGACTGTGCGCACCAGCAGCCGGAAGTAGTGCCGGTACCGCACCAGCAGTGTCACCACCAGTGGCAGGAAGGCCAGTGCAATTGCAGGGGACATGATTCCTTCCTGGGCCCTGGGGTAGAGGGAGGCAGGAAAGGAAACCCACACCTGCCATGAATGCTGGCCTCACCAGCAGCAATGATTATTCCTATTGCTTACAAACTGGCTCAGAAAGGCTAAATCTGCCACCCAGAGTTACATAGCAGAACTAGGATTTGAATCCAAGTTGGTCTGATTCCAAACCCATATACTTCCAAGGACTTCGTGCTAAGTTTAACTACCCCAAACCACCTCTTCCCACTTATGACCTCTGGTCCCACCTTCACTTGCTCCCTTTATCTGTTTCCCCTTGTCTCTATTGTTACCCCTTCTTCTGGACCCCTTTCCCCAGTTCCCCTCTAAAATATCTTCCTTCCACCCTACCCCTTGCTTGTTTGGTCTCCTCTGATCCATTACTGTGTAGAAAAAGAGCACATCTTTGTGGTCAGAAACCCTTTTATTGTCATTGTGCTCTGCCTCAGTAAAAGGCAATCAAAACACTTATTCTTGGGCCTCCCTGGTGGCACAAGGGGTAAGAGGCAACCTATGAAGCTATCTGCAGCTGCTGCAGCATGAGTTCCATCCCCGGCCGGCCAGAGGACTGCCCACATGGCCCAGCAGACTTCTCTTGACTCACCCACTGTTCCCTTCAGCAGTGTGTTTCAGTCAATCTGCCTGTTCTGTTCCCCACTGTCTCTGGTGAATCCTCTCAACCCTGCACCTTTGGCCTGTACCCTAGTTCTTGTATGCATAAATAAATCTTTTTAAAAAACACTTATTCTAGGGCCTCCCCGGGTGGCATAGCAGTTAAGTGCTGGATTGCGTGGCTGCCCACAGTCTCTGCAGCGCCAGTTCGATCCCCGGCCACTGGCGCGGGTCCCACAAAAAAACAAACAAACAAACAAAAACACAAAACACTTATTCTGTAGGGAGTTAGTTCTATAGTCCTTTCTACCCTGACTCCCTCTATCTGGCCTTTCCTGGAGATGGGAGGAGTCCTTGATTCTGCACTTCTCCAGTCCTGTCTTTCTCACCTGCATTCCCCTTGTCTGTTCTTGCTCAGAATTACCTTCACAAGCATATATGCGGTACATACTCTTCCCCTCTGCCCCCGCCCCGTCCTCTTATGAGAGATAAGTGCCGTCTATTTTCCTGGGCCATCCTCCCCTTCAGATCTGACCCTTGCAGGGCCCTTGGAGACTAAAAATGAAACTAACCATGCATGGATGGGTGAGTGATGGTGAGTCTGAACTGGTGTGCTTGGGAACCCACTCTCAAAGACCCTGCTTACCTGGGCTAGAGGCTCCTGTTTGGGGAAGATCGGAGCATAGGACAAGAGGGGGAGTCCTTGGCCAGGGAGAACCCTGAGACTGCTGAACCTGCTCTCAATAATTGATGCTGAGGCTGCTGTTGTCACCTGAGACCTGCAGTTCAAGTTACCAGCCACAGGAACAAGCTAGAGCCGACTCCTACCCTTCAGGAGCTTTCAAAAAGTAGATGTAGAACTACTGGATTTGGTGATTTTTACTCCAACCCTTTGGATCAGAATGTGGAGCACAGTGTGAGCCAAGGTAATGGGGAAGCTATAATTTATTCAATTCAAAATTCATGTTTTTTCTAAGCAAGTGCCAGGACTTGTATCACAAAGAAGCATCAGAACCTGTCCCTATCCTTCAGGAATTCTGTATTTGGTAGAAGAGACATGCAGGAACAGAGAATACAATTTAATGTGATCACTAGAATGGCTGCTCCATGAATACAGGGACTTTTGGCTACTTTGTGAATTGCCACATAGTCAGATAAAAGTGTGTGGGACATTGCACACACTCAGTATATGTCTGATTCAATAAGTAAATTAATCAATACTGGATAATTAGTACAGGATGCTTGAGATGCCCAAAGAATAAGGTCAAAGGAGGAAATTGGAGGTTACCGTTTGTGTAGAGTCCTGAAGACACATGGCACAGGGAAGACAATGTGCTATGCCACATGTGCACAAGTTCAGGAAAATCAGGAAACTACAAGTAATTTCTCTTTGGCTGGTGAAATGTGCCCTCAATACCCCAGCCCACTCCCTTGCTCACTCTAGTGGGCATCAGGTGTCTGTCTGACTTTGCAAAATCTTTTTTTAAAGTTTTTTAAAAAAAAATTTATTGCGTAGAACAATTGAGATGTAGGTCAGAGGTGCTGGGGGGTGAGAGGATACACCAGAGACAGAGTGGGGAGCAGAACAGGCAGATCTATTGAAATGCACTGCTAACGGGAGCAGTGGGCAAGACAGGCGAGATCTGCTGTGCAATTTGTGGGTAAGCTCCCTGGTAGGGGATCGAACTCAGGCCTTTGTGGTGATAGCGGAGACTTAACCCCTGGGCCACCAGGGAGGCCCCCTCTGCAAATCCTTAATGACAGACTTGGACCTCTGTTTAGGGATCAAGGGAAGACGCTGGGAAGGTTCTAAAAAAGCACCGATGGTCAGCTTTGTGTATTAGATCTCTGTGAACAGGCAGCTGTGTAAATAGGCAGGATTAAAGAGAAACGCCCCAAGGCAAGATCAGTAAGGTGGTCTCTCCTCTACTAGGGTTGAGCTGCACTCCGCTTCAGTATAAGGTCCCTTCTTCCAGAAAGTCTAAGACTCCAAGTACAGGTTGAAAATTTTGTTGGAAACTACGGAGTCTGGCCCCCAACTTGGTGCAGGTTATTTTAGGCTTATGTGTGTCCACCCAGATACTCTAGGAACGTTGATGCTGGGTCCCATTCGCCTTTTGCATGCTATTTAGGAGGGCGTATCCTGACGGCATTTGCTGTAAGTTCTCTCACTGGCCCATAAGGTAGCCTGGCAGTCTCAAGGCCCACTAATAAAACCCATAGAAGGGTCTGCCGGCCCCCAAGGTGAGGCTCAGACCATCCAGGACTGGGAAACGATTGAAGTCACATGACCCGACCCGCCCATTCCTCCCCTCACGTGTTCGCTTCTTGTCACGCCAGGCGCGCGGCGCACCTTCCCATTGGTCGAGGGTGATCACGCGGTGTAGGCAGGGCCGGAAGTCCTGCGGCCGCGGCAGCGGCCGTAACGAAGCGGCTCTGGGAAGGGGTAGACGCGGGGGTGGTGGTTGCTTGCGGGAGAGAGCCACGCGTCATGTGACCGGAAGGGCTCCTGACGGACGCCGTCCCTCCTCCGCGCGGCCTGAGTGCCCGGCCCGACCCCGGCCATGGGGTGCTGCTACAGCAGCGAGAACGAGGACTCGGACCAGGTGCGGCCGTGGCGGGCGGGGCTCGGGAAGGAGGGCTGAGTCCCTGAGGCATGGGGCCCCCCAAAAAGCTTGCAGAAGAGGGGAGTCGACTGCGGGGCTCACTGAGTACGGAGGCCCGAAGGGGACAGATTGCGGAGGAGACGCCGGGCCGGGTTCCTATCTGTTAAAGCCCCAGTCTCTCCACACAGTCCCCGCTGTGCAGTGGGCAAGCCGCCCGTCCCGCTGCCTCCCAGCCCTGCCATCGCCCTACCTTCAAACCTTTACAGCTTCAGGGACCCTCGTCCTAGGTTCCTGGGAAGAACCACCTGCCCAGCTTCCTGTACCTTCCCTGTGTTTGTGTTAGCGAACTTTGTGCATCCATTGTAGAGGTGGATAAGCTGAGGCTCTGAGTGAGTTTATCCCGAGATAGATCAATAATTTGTATTTCCTCTCAGTGCCTGGGGCTGAAGACGGAAGGTCGCCGGTGGTCTGGCCTCAGAGAAGGCCTCTGGAAGGAGGTGGCATTTGAGTTGGCCAGTGAAAGGTTTAATAGACATGATGAGGACATCGGGACTTGTGGGCAGTTGTTTGGGAAGCAATAAATTGGGTTTAACACTGGCTGTACCGAGGAAGGGTGGCGGGGAGGTTGGGGAGCTCAGTTTGGCTTGCCTTCGTGCAGCTCCGCCGGAGATCTCAGGGTTCCTGTAGCTAGAGGGGTGTTTTACCTGAGAATTTGTAGATTTGATCCCTTACGGAAAGGTTTAGGCTGCAGAGATTTGTACAGTTTTAAATTCTCCCTCTTCCTCTTGATGCATTCTCACTTCTCCCCACACTTTAATCCCTGCCCTGCCTGTCTCGCATTCTTTGAGGAGGGGGAGACCTTTTCAAGACAGAAGCCTCAAACTGTTGGCAGTTTCATTGCCTCTAAACTTGGGTTCTACATTTCAGCGCATAGGAGACACCCAGAAGGTTTCCAGGAAGTAGCTCACAGTCTAGTGGAGAAGATGGATACAAAAATGGATTTTGTCACTGATATTTAGGAAGTAGGTTTTTCCTCACTGACTCACATGACCCTGTTTTGGGTTGAGGACTTAAGTTTAGGGAAATGCCATTTATATGGGAGGTTTGGGTGGCTTGTGGACCTTATTAATTCTCCAGACACCCAATAAACACAAACTCCTTTTCCTATGTCAAATATCTCTCACTTTATCCCAGCCTATTAGGGATCCTTCCAATATCCCTGCCAACTGGGGAAGCCGTGGACTTGTGCAAAAATTGTCTCTTAAAGCACAGTAAGGACTCTCAAAAAGGATTAATGCCTTATGAGAAAGGTCACCAGTTTCTTGTTAAAGAGTTGGGCTTGCTGCTGACATGAATCTCCACCATCCCCTTGATGGGCTTGCACTTCTGTTTCTAATTTCCAGAGACAGTGCTTGATCAGTGCTGGGTGATTTGAGGCTTTATGTGATAAAGGCCTATTTAGAGTGTCTATGAGCCATATCCATTCACTATCCCACAGTCCCTCTTTCAAGTCTGGGCAGACCCCTCTCCCACTCTCATCTCTGCCCCTTTGTACATACAACACATTTAAAGATGAAGGGAAAGTTCCAAGAGGGTGATTCAGCCCAGCCTAAGTGTTTTGATGCCAAACTATGTGTTTTATCCATTGGGCCAAGCTGACTTCTGTTGTGTCCAGGTAGCTAGTCATGTGCAGGCCACGGATGTGTCTGTGCTGGGACAGGCAGTGAAACGTTGACTCCTGGGTTGACATTGATTCAGGGACAAACCTTGGTGTGAAAAACCTCCTCCTTGCCTTTTTTTTTTTTTTTTTAAAAGATTTATTTATTTATTTATTTATTTATTTATTTATTTATTTATACAAGCACTGGGTACAGTCAGAAGCGCGGGAGGGTGAGAGAATTCACCAGAGCCAGAGCGGGGAGCAGAGCAGGCAGAAGGACCTAAGTACACTGCTGAGGGGAGCAGCGGGCGGCAGGAGAGGTCTGCGCGCCATGTGGGACCCTCCTCTGGTGGCCAGGGAGCGGCCGGGGATCGAACCAGCGCAGCAGAGGCTGCAGGCAGCTTCGCAACCCAGCGCTCAACCGCTGCGCCACTGGGGGAGGCCCCTTGCCTTTTTTTTTTTAAGATTTATTTATTTTATACAAGAATCGGGGTACAGGCCAGATGCGCGGGAGCGTGAGAGAATTCACCAGAGACAGAGCAGGGAACAGAACAGGCAGACTGACGAAATACACTGCTGAGGGGAGCAGCAGGCAAGACAGGAGAGGTCTGCTGTGCCATGTGGGACCCTTGCCAGCCGGTCGGCCGGGAGCAAACCGGTGCTGCAGAGGCTGCCAACAGCTTCACAGCGTGGCACTCAACCGCCTGCGCCACCAGGGGAAGCCCCTCCTTGCCTTTTGAGGGGGTGAGGTGATGTTATTTGTCCACTCTGATGGGAGTAGCATGGCCTTTCCTGGGAGTCTAGGTCTCAGGAAAACAATCTCGTTCTTGAAGATCCCCTGATAGGGGAGACACTGCCCTGTCCGGTAGGAAGATGTGTCCTAAGCGGGGTTGGGGAAATTTAGACCCATAACCAGCAAACTTAGACTTCATTATGGAGCCTGCTTTCCTTAGAGATAGTTTAATCTTTGCAAGCATTTTGTCCTTCTAGCCCTTTTATTCTTAGCCTGTGTTTTAGGGAGGAGGAAGGATGTCTAGAAAGTGAAAGGTGATGGGACTCTGCCTACAGCTTCTGTTTCAGGCTGTTGGAAACTTGGGCAACACAGACTTGAGAAGGAAAATGTGAAAAGGCTCGTCTGCTTAGGGTGGGGCAGGCAGGGCAGGAGGAAGTGGTCCTCTGTACAGAGAGTTGTGGATAGGGGAACTGGAAGCCTGGGTTGAGAAAGTCTGTGGTGGGAGCTGAAGGCCCAGAGAGGAGGCCTAGGAGTCTGGTGGTCTGGCATTGAAGGTCGTGAGTCACTTTTAGCCAGGGTGGGTCCATTGTCCTTGGTTTTGTCCTGGGCACCCATTGTTCTTCATGGCTAGGAGAGAAACTCGCAGGTTTGCTCATCCAATTCACAGCTGGCACAAAGGCAGCGGGGATTCACAGGTGATGGGCACAAGTTAGGATCATATCCAGAAAGTTTGCAGTAGATTAGAACAAGAGACTAAAACAGGTCAAGGAGAAACACATAGAACTATCAAGACCAGGAGACTCACTCTGGCCCCAGGTTGGTCCTGGAGGATGTGATTATCAGCATGGCTGGCACCAGCAAGGTTGCTGCAAATCAACGACGCCACAGAACTGGAGCTGTGGTGACTTGGTGAGGGAGGGTATAGCTCTACCATTAGTTTGGCTCAGGAAACACCACATTCACCAAGTTTGGTTCTGGGATTCTTAGGCAAAGAGAGCATCAGAGGAGAGGGGGGACCTAAGTGTGGAAGGGACCTGTCCTCAAGGGAGCATGCTTGAACTGCAGGACTTAGGCTGCAGCTGGGACTCCGGCCCTAAGATAAGATGAGGAAAGGCCTTTGAGAAGTTGAGCTTGCTTTCCTTTGGGGCCTCGAGCCTCCCCATCCTAGGGGCAGACGGCCTTGCTGGTGGGGGAGGGGGCCTGGATCAGGAGGGCTATTCTTTTTTTTTTTTTTTTTAAAGATTTATTTTTATTTATTTATTTTATACAAGCACTGGTACAGTCAGAAGCGCGGGAGGGTGAGAGAATTCACCAGAGCCAGAGCGGGGAGCAGAGCAGGCAGAAGGACCAAAGTACACTGCTGAGGGGAGCAGCGGGCGGCAGGAGAGGTCTGCGCGCCATGTGGGACCCTCCTCCGGTGGCCGAGGAGCAGCTGGGGATCGAACTGGCACTGCAGAGGCTGCGGGCAGCTTCACAACCCAGCGCTCAACCACTGCGCCACCAGGGAGGCCCAGGAGGGCTATTCTTGGACTCCAGACTTACATCAGTTCCCCCCGCTCTAGTCCTTACTCCTTTGGTTCGCAGCCTCCAGTATCCTTTCCTCATCAGGTGCTGAGCTGTTTTCTAAAGCTTCAGAGCTATTACCGAGTACCTGCTTTGTGCTTCTGTCCATCCTCTCAACGCCTCTAACCTTGCTTGGTTCTACTTTAATTCATCCTAGACACCAACTCAGCTGAGCTAATCGCAGGCAGGAGCTGAGTCTTATCTGACATTGCATACAGTTGGGCACTTGGGGTATTCTTAATAAAAATAAATTTTGGTGCTTAAAGGTCAGAGCTGGGCTGAATGGAGAACCCAGGAATGGCAGGTTGGATTAAGGGCCCTGGTGACTTCTCCCCCATGGCCTCTCCTAGGACCAAGAGGAGCGGAAGCTGCTGCTGCCTAGCAGCCCCCCAACCAAAGCCCTCAATGGAGCTGAGCCCAACTACCATAGCCTGCCTTCTGCTCGCACAGACGAGCAGGCCCTGCTCTCCTCCATCCTCGCCAAGACAGCCAGGTGAGCATCATAGGACCGAGCCTGGGGCAGAGCTCCTCCATTTAAAGGCTGGTTTGGAGGGAGCTAGACCCAGAAATGAGGAATGGGACAAGGTCAGTGGGGAGAGGTCCCTCTAGACTCAGCCCTGTTCTAGTGGGCAGGTGGGGATACTCGTGTCAGATAGCCCTGGAGTTGGTGCATGGCAGAGAGTCTTGTCTGTCCCCCTCAAAGTGTGTACCATGTGCTCTCTTTGCCTCCTTTCTCCAAAGCAACATCATCGATGTGTCTGCTGCAGACTCCCAGGGCATGGAGCAGCATGAGTACATGGACCGGGCAAGGCAGTACAGGTCAGTTCCTTGCTAGTTTGGGTGCCTACCCAAGTAACTTGGGCTACTTGGGCTCTACCCCCACCACCACCACCACCACTGGCCAACCTCCCCTCAAGTCCTGCTTTGGATCCTGGGTCCTAGTCCAGGTTTCTTATCTGTGTGTAGCCCAGGCCTTGACCACAACCACCTGGACGCCTCAGTAAATGTTGCTGTCAGCCCTGTTTGCGTGGTGGCACTCCAGGGTGTAGAGGGAAAGGGAGGTGGGGCCAGAGTGAATTTGTGGTTAGCTAAGCACCCCTAGTACACCTCCTCCCCCCATTCTCTGGCCCGAGGGAGGGAGGCTGACCTGGGCTAGGCAGGACAGAGCAGACTGTTGCCTAACTACACCCCTCCTCCTTTGGCCAGCACCCGCCTGGCCGTGCTGAGCAGCAGCCTGACCCATTGGAAGAAGCTGCCGCCGCTGCCGTCTCTCACCAGCCAGCCCCACCAAGTGCTGGCAAGTGAACCCATCCCCTTCTCTGACTTGCAGCAGGTGAGCCTCCCCTTATCCTGCCCCCAATATCCTTCCTACACTGCAGGGGTGTGGAAGGGGTTCAGCCTCCCTGTCTGAGGAGGTAGGGAAGTGGTGGTAGGGAGCCTTCTAACTTGAGGGCTCTGGCCCACTTCAATCTGACATTTTAATCTTTTTTTAACCTTTACTCTTTCCCCTTTTTGTTCTTTTTTTCTTCTGTCTTTTCCATTCTTGCCTTTCTCCTTGACATCTATTCCCAATCCCCCTCCTCTTTCACTATCTAATCTCCCTCCCCTGCTTTCTGGTCCTCCTTTCTTACTGTGCTCTCTGTTCCTCTCCGCCCTGGTCCTTTACCGCAGGTCTCCAGGATAGCTGCCTATGCCTACAGTGCACTTTCTCAGATTCGTGTGGACGCAAAAGAGGAGCTGGTTGTACAGTTTGGGATCCCATGAAGAGAGGAGGGGCCTTGGACAGCTCTTCTTCTCCTCCCTTCACCCCATCTCCACCTTGCGCCTGCCCTGGCCCCCAGCCTCACTGCGGCTTATACAGTACCCTAACCTGCTACTAATCACGTGGAAGAATGTGGAGGAGGAGAAGAGTAAGGCTAAAGCCTGAGCAAGTGAGGATGGAGCAAGGGGAGGGTAGAACCATTTGAGACTGGCCTTTGAAGCCTGGCCAGGGGTGGGGTGGGGGTCAAAGGACAGGACCTGCTAGGTCCTTACTGTCACTGGGAAGGTGGAGGTACCACAGTGAGGTGATCACTGGGGGTCTTTGGGGGCCCTCTTCCCACTTTCTCTTGGCCTCACTCCTGTTCCCCTCTCCCTGACTTGGTGCTCACTTGCACCTCACTAGGGTTTGTGACCAGGGTCTGGACAAGCTTGAATTTGAATGAATTGAGTTTGTATTTCTAGCACCCTGGGTTTTTACATGTTTGGGGGTTTTTCTTTGGTTTTGTTTTGGTTTGTCACCCTCGATAAAGGAAGTATATTCATCTGTGTGCTGGTTCCAGCCCCTCTGTCCTGCCCACCACACTCCCATTTACTTCTAACTTCTCCAGAGTCTGCAGAGCAAAATGAATGAGGGAGCTGTCTTCCAGGGACATTAAGAAGAATCCAAAGGATAAGGGTTCAGGACCCCCAGGTCTTAGCTGAGACTCGGCCTGAATTGACCTCACGTTGGATTTTAAAACTATACTTATCCTTTCTCCAGTAGTGGGAACACCATCAAAGCTGAACAAACTTGAGTCTGAGGCAGCTGTCACTGTTGGGGATCCTGTCTCAGACTCAGTGGAATTACCACCAAGCCCAGGATTGGGAGTGAGAGGTGCAGGTAGACCAGGAGCACTTGATAGGAAGTCAGCAAGCAATGTTTTCAAGCAAAAAATTCTATTAAATGAAATCTTAAACCAGAATCTCAACATATAGAACAAGTGAGAGCTGCTCTGATCTGATTGAAGTGAGGGTTCAGAGATCACAGTCTTTCTCCTTGGCCTTCTGATGAGACCTCTGAAGCTTGTTCACAGAACCTTGGTGCTCTGAGAAATTTGGATATCTTTGCTGAAGCCTCAAAAGGGGCCCAAGAGAGATTAGGTAAGTGTCTAAGGCCATACAGTGAACCCAGGCCTTCTGTGTCCCAAGCTGACAGACTTTCAATTCCATTGCCTCCCACTTCAGTGAAATGATAAGAACAGAGCTGCTGGCAGTTGCCTGAGTTGGAGGACATTTTACACAGTACAAGTGACTTCTAACTTGCAGAAAAGCTTAACTATTTATTGTCCAACATAATGACCATCCTCAGGCCTATAGGACTGCCAGGGTCCAGTAATGTCAGAGTGCATTCTGCTTGATCCGGACCTTCTTGGGCTTGATGTTCATACGTTTCCACACTTCGGCAGTGGTCCGGTCTGCTTTGGTGACTCCACTGAAGTCAAACGTGGTGATACGGGGCAGGAAGCACAGCACATACTGCCTGTGGGAAAGACTCCGGCTGGGGCCCCACCCCCCAAGAACTCCCTTCTCACTCCACCAGTTACTGCTGTCTACCCTGACTGCAAGAAATGGAGGGATTCAAGTTGTTTGGTGGAGGCTGAGTTTACCCTGATTGATAGCAGGGAGTGATGAAACATCTCTACTCCCTTCCCTGGTTCAATCATGGCAGAAGGATGGTCTTAGGGAGCCCAGCTAGAGTGCAGCTTCAGGGGCAGGGCACTTACCTATACCCCTTCTCTTCCTCTATGGGGTTCCCATGGAGTGTTAGGCTTCTGAGCCGAGGGAGGACAGCCAGCTTATTCACTTCTCCCAGGTTATGGATGCTGTTGCCATGAAGATAGAGGACACTCAGGTTGAAGAAAGTTGTCAGGATCTGTTGGAGAAGGAAACCAAAAGCCTGACTGGGTGGGGTGCCAGATCTGTGTTCAGGACCGACTAGCCAGAGAAGGAAGAGTTTGGGGAGCAACTTGCCCCGTCCCACCAGCCATACTGGGCGACTCAAGCCTAGTTCCATTTATTTGTCTTTGTAGGGATATGGGGGCAGGAGGTTTGGGTCTGGATCCTAGCATAGCCATTATGACTTGCCAGGTGTCTAGGCTTTCCTGCCTCTTCCTGAGCCTAGTTGTCCCTTTGCTGAAGGCCTTTCCAGCTCTGGTGATGTCAGATTCTGTCGCAACAGGGCACAGGGGCACAGAGCTTCATGCTAGGTACATGAGAGAAGTCTTTAAAATAGTGAATTGAGATCACTGTGCAGAGGGAATGGTTTCCAAGTCATGCCCTAGTTCTTCGCGCCTCATATGGGCGGCCTGGACAGGAAGGAGGTAGTTTTGTTTATCTTGTAAGACTTGAGTCTGAGTTTACTGAGAGTAAGTGCTGAATTTCTACTACATATCTCTTCCATGGGAGGCACAGTTGCTACCTGATGATGAGAACTACAATTTTACTTCTGTCTCCTATGTGGTAGTTGGTTTTCATATCCTCATTTAATTCTCACAAAACCTTTATGATGCTAGCATAAAATCCTCATTTTTCAGCAGGGTGGCTAAGGTTTTAGGTTAGGTGTCTTGCCCAAAGTCACACTATCAAATAAGAGGCAAATCTAGGAATTTGAACCTCCATCTGAGTCCAGAGTCATGTGCTTTGCATGGCACCGCGCTACCTCACTGCTTTGATAAAAGGTGAGAGGTGGGCAGACTGGAGATGGACAAAGTGGCTTTAGGCCACTCTTACTGCACTCCCAGGGCTACAGACTCACAGGGTCAATGGAAGTCAGGTCATTAAAGGACAGGTCAATCCAGGCCAGGTTCTCTGGATGCTTCAGCAACTGTGAAACCACACGGTTGAAGTCTCTCAGGTCACTGAGGACATTGTTGTTCAGCCACAGGGACTGGGTGAGTGACTTCCCCGACTTTGAGTGCTTTAGTGGTCGTAGTCCTGACCTTGGCTCCTCGCTTATCATATCTGTGGGAACAGAATTAGATGTGGGTATGTTAACTTTGCTTTTCTGGTTTTGGGCATGATAAGGGACACATTTGTGACTTAAACTGTAGCTGGAGGGGCTGGCAGGGCAATAGTCCCATCTTTGAGGCCAGAGGCATTCTAGCTGCTGGCTGTCATAGCCCTCAGTAATCTGAAGAGGCTTGGGCTAAGATGATTTCCCATCCAAACTCTTGGTTTGAGTCGCGTGGTCCTCATACCTTTGGTATCATTGGGTCCTCTATACAGTACCCATGTATCTATATGGGGAGGAGGGAACAGAAGTACTTCCATCTTATAGATGAGGAAACTTAAGAGCCCAGTTATTGGGCTTGAACCAAGAAGATGATGACAAATGCCAGATTTACTCACTGGTAGAACTCTAGAATTCACTTCACTATGATGGATGGCCTCTTTTCCATTAATGAGCAAATTTGTATGTGGCTGATACTGGGCGTACAATGGTGAACAAAATGAATATGTGTCAACCTCTGTATGAGTAACAGGGCAGGGATCAAACAGTTTATGCCTCGGAGGAGCTCATGTGGGGTGCGATGTGTTATAGTTAATAGTTATGGAAGCGATGTGTTATAGTTAATAGTTATGGAAGCACAGAAGGGGGGCTCCTGACCCAGTCTGGGAGCTTAAGGATGTTTCCTAGTGAAAGTGAAACCTGAGTAGGATGTCGCTGGATTAGGAGGTCAGTGGATTAGGAGGCAAAGAAGAGTGGAGAGGAGAACAGCACGCTCAAAGACAGAGGTATGGAACAGCATAGACATGGGCATGTGCTGCACAAGATGCATGAGGGGGAAAAGGACTAGGAGCCTAAGGTGCCAATCTGAAAATCTTGAGAACTTTATCCTCTAGATGATGGAAGCCACTGGAAAGTTTTAAGCAGGGGAGGTGGCTCCTACTTTCAGAAAGATCAATGGAGTTTAGTGTTGAATACAGACTTCAGGGAGTGGGTGGAATTGGAAGACCAATTTGGCTCTTAAAGTCATGCAAGTAAGACAATTAATCAGTATGACTACTTGATTGACTATATGTAAGGGTAGAATAATATTTTTTTTCTAAAAAAGATTTATTTATACAAGCACTGGGTACTGTCAGAAGCGCGGGAGGGTGAGAGAATTCACCAGAGCCAGAGCAGGGAGCAGAACAGGCAGACTGATGAAGTACACTGCTGAGGGGAGCAGTGGGCGGCAGGAGAGGTCTGCGCGCCTTGTGGGACCCTCGCCTGGTGGCCGGGGATCGAACTGGCGCTGCAGAGGCTGCGGGCAGCTTCGCAACCCAGCGCTCAACGCTGCACCACCGGGGAGGCCCAGGGTAGAATAATATTTAAGGATGTTGCTCAGATTCTTGTTTGGGTGACTGAGTGAATGCTAGTTCTCTGAACTGAGAGGAATTAGTTCAGGACTGGCCTTGATGTGTCAGGCTCACATGGTTTGAAGAAGGAAAAGCCAAGTAGGCACTTGGATATGAAGGTATGAAGCCCAGGAAATACAAACTTGAGAATCAGGGTCTACAGTTAGGAGAATAGATGCAATTCCTCAAGGTAAGTGAGAATGGAGAGGAGAGACAAGGAGGGAGGGAGGTCCATTAAAGAAGTTACTGAATAATTGGGAGGATAGGGAGAACCAGGAGAGGATGGTTTTAAAGATGCTCAGGAAGTATAAGAATGAGCTTTAGGGAGATAAGGGCTGATAAATAATTTTGGCAACTCAGAAGTCCCTGATGGCCTTGGTAAGGGCTGTTTCAGTGAAAGGAAATGGAGATAGTAGCGCCATTAAATGAGTTCAAGAGAGAAGAGAAGGGAAGGGAGCATAATCAAGGCAGCATAAACAAACGTCTTCAAAAAGATTGGCTGAGGAGAGAACAGGCAATAGAATGATGTTAGAATCCATCAGAATGGAGCTTCCCTTCCCCCACCAGCCATGCCTCCCCCACACCCCCACTTTTTTTTTTTTTTAAATTAGGTCTAGAGAGAGTATGGCCCTCCAAACTCAGAAGTCAGTGGCAGAGCCAGAACCAGAAACCAACTCTGGCCGAGGTGACTATATTTTTCCTATTGCCCCTATACCTTTGATTACTGATCTAAGCTACCTCCAGGGAAGGAAGTATTTAGTACTTGCCATCCTGGCCAGGTGTCTTCACCCTTCCCTCAGCTCACGCTGCATGCACTTCAACTCTTCCATCCCTACCCAAGGTTAACAGCCTCTCCTCAGCTGCAGGTCAGGCGGCATCCACCAGATGGCGCTCTGCCTTAGCGCTGGAGTAAGCAGAACCCACAGCTAGTGTCTGGAGGAGTGGGGGCAGGGGTAAGGCAGACTAGCAGGGCAGAGTAGCCCAGCACATTAATAAACTCCTAGTCCAGTCCCCCAGCTTCACATCTCCTGTGAACACTGAAATGAAATGACAAAGTTAAGGTCAAACTAAGCTAACATGGACCAGCATGCAGATGAGAGCAGCTTGGGGAATGCCAAGTACAGGTGATCCCCAGCTCAGAGGGAGCCACTGGTAGGAAGGGATTGTCTGACACGTGAGGTTGCCCAGGGTTCCTGTTCAAAGGGTATCCAGGCTGCTACAGGCTACTGCTCTCCACAGACTTCATGGGGCACTGCACTGCCTAAGGATTTATTGAAGCTGCCTTATTCAGAGTAGGCTGAGGTCTGGAAACTGAGCCACAAACTTCAACACTCACAGAACTAGGGATTCTCTAACCCCAGGGAAAACAATTTCCTGTTTTCATCTCTCTGAAGAGTTTGCATATAACCTTTGACATGTGTCACTAGTAGTGCAGGAGTTAGATGAGAACATCCTTGTATCATTCCCCATCCCATAATTGAAGGGGTTGGTAGATGTATGGTAGAGGACGCCCTTAACATTGTAGGTTTGTGAGCAGAATTTTTTTTTTCTTTTTAAAAGATTTATTCATGCATATAAGAACTGGGCCAGATGTGTGGGAGGGTGAGCGGGTTCACCAGTGACAGAGTGGGGAACAGAACAGGCAGACTGACTGAAGTACACTGCTGATGGGAGCAGCGGGTGAGTCAGGAGAGGTCTTCTGCGCCATGTGGGTAGCTCCCCAGCTGGCCGGGATCAAACCCACGCTACAGAGGCTGCAGACAGCTAGAAGTTAAGAGAACTATGGGTAGAAGTAGTATAGATTGGATACCTTTGAAAGTAACTTCCATTTCAAATTCTGTGATCCATTTGTCTACTAATTTTAGCAAATAATGCATCAAGTATCTCTAAACTCTATCCTGTCCTCTAACCTCAGTTTTAAGTAAGTATTTTATTCTGTAAGCTTTGGGGAAACTGAGGGGACTGGCCTTTGGGGGCTTAGATGTGCCTTTCCTGCTCCCATTCCCACAGCACTCATCAAAGACCACAATGCCTGGCATGTATGTATACAACACACACACATTTATAAATGCCTAATAAATAGGTGCTCAATAAATATTTAACTATTGAATGAAGGACAGGGCATCTGAGCAGATTATATTTTGTGCTATGGAGTTATCCTTGGTTGTAGTAGCTTGTCTTTCCCTCATTCTGAGGACTCCATGGAGGGCAGCTACATCTCTGGGTAGGTAGGAGCCATAATTCCCTTCTCTGTCACCTCAACTATTTGTGCACATAGCCATTATTGCAGCCAACACCCTTGTGGAACATGGACTGTATCCACCAGATGTTGTGCATAATGAAGACTGTGGTCAGTGGGCTTGTGCTAGAGAGAGCAAACATGGATTTGATGGCAACCCAAGTAGTACCCCCTAAATCCAAGCCAAGGCTAGCACACGGGTAACTAGGAGCCTGCTTCCTTGACTCAAAGGTAGCTGCCAATTGCCTAAGAGAGAAGCCCAAAGCCAGATACTGGACTAGGATATATGCATGCCGGCCTGTGTCCTGTGATGGTGGGTAACAGAAGCCAGGGATAGCAGAACTCCCCTGAGAAGCACACTCTCTGGAGAATAAGAGGTTGCTGTCCCTTCCTTGGGTACAGCTGCCCATGGAATGTAAAAAATGAGAATGAGCACGGGTAGTGCTGGAATCTGCAATAAGTGGGTGATGGGATAAAGTTGGATATGACTGGAATGAATATAAAATTTGTCAATAAGTGTCTAACTGGAAACCTGCCAGGTTGTTCCTAACAAGATCCCACATTTTACCAGTGATAAGAGGAGACAGGGTTCTGCTGATTTCAGGGACTCTGCAGTAGCCTGTTTGCATTAGCATCTTCCTCTCTTCAGGTGAAAACATAACAACTGGCTGGCTGACTGGCTTCCCAGGTTTTTTCCACCTGACATTCCTGCTGTGAGCTTGGTTTCTTTTGAAAGTATCAGTTACCCTGAAAGCTCCCAGTTTCCTTACAGATTTCCTTCTAATTTTTGAAAGGGTCAAACCCTTCTCCCACCTCCCTAGCCCTTACTTCTCAAGGAGACAATGACAATAGCAATAAACCTGCAAGCAATATGGGAAGGATCTCTTTAGGTTTTTAAATAGAAGACTGGTTTCCCCACGGGGACTAATACCTAGCCTGCTCTCATGAGCGGGGGTGCTGTGTGCTGTGGGCTGACCTTGAATCACGTGGATGCTTCGGAAAGAGTAGTCAAGAGGGGGCTCTTGCACCGAAGTGTTCATATAGTCCCATTTGCTCATAGCTCAGGCCATCATTTGTCAGGTGTAAGCGTGGGCTCTGTGAGTCCGGGTTCAACCTGGGAGGACAGAGAAGGGCTGGTGGTGTAGGTACAAGGAGCGTCCACCCTCAGTTGTTCCCGTAGCCCTCCACCCCTGCCTTCTACCCTCCACTACTCCAGCCTTGCCTGGCTGAATTGCTCTTTTAAGATATTAATCACAATTCCTCATATTTGTTGGGCAATTTCTACTTCTCAGAGCACCTTTATATTCCGTAGAGCTCATCTGATAAATTTTAACACCCATTTCTACTTTCCAACAAAGAAACTGAAACCCCAGGGTGAAAATACTTGCCCAAAGTTAAGTGGGTGAGTCAGTTGTGGACTGTAATCACATGTCCTGAATCCTACTCTGAGGCCCTTTCTGCTACTCCACAGAAGTTACCATGGATGCTGTCTTGATACCTACCCTCTAGTGACATCAACTAGGCTATTCTGTTGCTTAACAACCCCCTGAGTGCCTGTGCTGGATCTGATGTCCAACAGCCCTTTGCAGTCTGACCCAGCTGTTACCTTCTTTGCTCAGTTTGTCTTGTCAGTTCCATTATTCCATTTGAAGCCCCTACTTTCAGCCATCTCCTGAAGATAGACATACATAAACACACACACATACACACAAACCAGACATTCACTCACCTGCCACTGAAGCCTGAAATTCCACCATTAGGGATTCATTCCTTTGGGTTCGGGGATTATTCCCTGTTAAAGTGAAAAGACTCCCTAAGAGGGGTGCACACAGTGTTACCAGTCCTGTACAATGTGGCCTGAATTGTCTTATCAGATATTTCCCAATTTGTTAGTTCAAGTAAATCTGGGAATTTCTCAAGAGACTGGGGAGATTAAAATAATACCGTTAAAATACTACTCACCTGGGAAGAGGGGTGCTGAAAACACTTCAGTAAGGTGTTTGTATATGACACAAATGACATATAGGCGGACAAGGTCAAGTATATGTCTCAGTCAATCTCCCTTTTCTCACTTCATGCACTGCTGTCACAGCCTTTGCATTTACTACTTTCCAAAATGTTTTTTGAGTTTACAATAACAGGGTCATAAAACAGGATGATCTATAGAGCTGAGCTACAGAAATAATGAAAGTCACAAATGCAGGTCACATCTAAGTTTTAAAACATTCTAGTAGCTGGGCCTCCCCAGTGGCGCAGCGGTTGAGCGCTGGGTTGCGAAGCTGCCCGCAGTCTCTGCAGCGCCGGTTCTGTCCCCGGCTGCTCCCCGGCCCCCGGAGGAGGGTCCCACATGGTGCGCTGACCTCTCCTGCCGCCCGCTGCTCCCCTCAGCAGTGTACTTCGGTCCTTCTGTCTGCTCTGCTCCCTGCTCTGGCTCTGGTGAATTCTCTCACCCTCCCGTGCTTCTAAGTACCCAGTGCTTGTATAAATAAATAAACAAATCTTAAAAAAAAAAAATTCTAGTAATAAAAAAAGAAACAAATGGGGCCTCCCCGGTGGCACAGTGGTTGAGTGCACCGGTTGAGCGCTGGGTTGCGAGGCTGCCCACAGCCTCTGCAGCGCCAGTTCGATCCCCGGCTGCCGGGCGAGGGTCCCACATGGCGCGCAGACCTCTCCTGCCGCCCGCTGCTCCTCTCAGCAGTGTATTTCGTCCATCTGCCTGTTCTGCTCCCTGTTCTGGCTCTGGTGAATTCTCTCACCCTCCCATGCTTCTGACTGTACCCAGTGCTTGTATAAATAAATAAATAAATCTAAAAAAAAGTTAAAAAAAAAAAGAAACAAGTGAAGTTGATTTTAATATATTTTATTTAACCCAATATATCCAAAATATCATTCAACATGTACATGATATTAAAAAGTGGTATTTTACACTTATGATACATCCAGGTTTGAACCAGCTCTCTGTCAAGAGCCCAACAAGCACAAATGACTAGAGGCTACCAAAGGGATTGTACAGATAGAAATATGGAATCATGGAACAGAAAGGTTAGGCACCAAATTAAATGAAGAGAGGCAGAAAAGTACCAGGAACTAGAAAACCAAGCCTATATTTAGCTCTGAAATTTCTGGTAAACAAAGCAAGAGAGGGAATCCTTAGGATATTTGGCTCTCATCATTTGATTCAAAGAAGCAAGTAGCTTGGGAGCCTCCCTGGTGGCGCAAGGGGTTAAGCACCGCACTATGAAGCAATCTGAAGCCTCTGCAGCCCACATGGCGCAGCAGACCTTTCCTGCCTTGCCTGCTGCTCCCTCAGCAGTATATTTCAGTCAGTCTGCCTGTTCTGCTCCCCACTCTGTCTCTGGTGAATCCTCTCACCCCCTGCATCTCTGGCCTGTACCCCAGCTCTTTTATGCATAAATAATCTCTTTTTTTTAAAGAAGCAAGTAGTTTGTATACAGATACAATGAAATGTTCTTAATATGGAATTTCTCTTCAAAACCATGGATCTGATAGCTTGTAATTCAGTTTAAGCTTAATACAGTTCAAGTACATTTCTTTTTTTTGTCATGTAACATATGCAAGGATAGAATTTAATGGGTTTAGAGGAATGGAAAGTGAATGTCTCCCTCAACAATCTTAAGTGAGCTTTGGGGAATTGACAACTTGTGTCACTTTGTATCTAAATTCTCTGTCTAGTGCAGGTGGGCCTACTGATCATCTGCTGTTGACTAGGGAGATCTGAATCTCTTAGATAATCAAATCTACAGACAGATACCAGATGACATATTCTTTTGTAGACATGGAAGGACCTGCTTGTGTTCTCACCTGGACAGAAGCATATCCCACTTCAGCACCTGTAACAGTTTTGATGCCTTTGAGCAAAACAGGATAGTTTTCTCAAAATCAGTCCTAGGTTGGGATCCCAGAGTTCTGTACCACTGGACGTGGGTTTTAGCATAAAATTAGGGGCACATTTTACCATTAATTTCCTTGGCCATAGGAGAACCTCAATGCCGTTCTTAAGAACTTCTGATTTTTATAGAACATCAGCATTTGAGGGGCCTCCTGGGGCACAAGGGGTTAAGACACAACCTATGAAGCTGCCCTTAATGACTGCAGCATGAGTTTGATCCCTGGCCAGGGAGCTACCCACCTGGTACAGCAGACCTCTCCTGACTCACCCGCTGCTCCTTTCTGCAGTGTATTTCAGTCAATCCACCTGTTCTGCTCCCCACTCTGTCTCTGGTGAATCCTCTCACCCCCCCACACCTCTGGCCTGTACCCCAGTTCTTATATGCATAAATAAATCTTTAAATTTTTTTTTAAAAAATCAGCACTTGATACATTTTTCTGGATGAGTTAAAAATGGAGCCCCAAGTAGCTAGACAAATTTGTCATTTGGGAAGTTATATTAATCTCCATTTAGACAGTAGCCGAGGATGTGAGCTAGTATTGTGTCTTGTTCATCATCTAACATAGAACCTGGCTTACAATAGGCACCCAGGAAATGTTTGTGGGAGGAATGAATGGGAAACTGCCAAATACAAGTACTTCTGTTTTGGAAGTGTTGAGGCTAAGCTTGTCTAACAACTGGCTCCTAGGTTCAGCTGTTTCAGTCCACACCTCATCCATAGTAAGATATTCAATTCAATTCTGCAAACATTTGTTGAGTGCCTGCTGCCCTTTGCCTGACCAGAAGGAATAAAGCCAAGACACAAATAATAAAACCCTGTCTGTCATGAGTATAGAAAGGCCTGCGGGGTTTCTACTGCCTGTGGCAAATCAGCCTGCATCCAGTTCTGAGTAACAGCTGCCTATTAAGTGAATATTCTGTTTCAGGACTCAGCTCTGGTGTATACTCTTCGATGAAGTCTTTCTTTCTAGATAAAATTGATCACTGTGTCCTGTGTTAGGCTGATTTTTTTTTTTTAAAGAGGCATGTGTTTTTATTTATTTATTCGTTTGTTTTTTTATACAAGCACTGGGTACAGTCAGAAGTGCAGGAGGGTGAGAGAATTCACCAGAGCCAGAGCGGGGAGCAGAGCAGGTAGAAGGACCGAAGTACACTGCTGAGGGGAGCAGCGGGCGGCAGGAGAGGTCTGCGCGCCGTGCGGGACCCTCCTCTGGTAGCCGGGGAGCAGCTGGGGAGCAGCCAGGGAGCAGCCGGGGATCGAACTGGCGCCGCAGAGGCTGCGGGCAGCCTTGCAACTCAGCGCTCAACCGCTGTGCCACCAGGGAGGCCCTAGATTGATTCTCTTGATAATCCCTACTCATGGTCTCTCTTTTTTTAAAGATTTATTTATTTATGCACACAAGAACTGGGGTACAAGCCAGAGGTGCGTGGGGTGTGTGTGTGTGTGTGTGTGTGTGTGTGAGGATTCACCAGAGACAGAGCGGGGAGCAGAACAGGCAGATTGACTGAAATACACTGCTGAGGGGAGCAGCGGGCAAGTCAGGAGAGGTCTGCTGCGCCATGTGGGTTAGTTCCCTGGGTGGGGATCGAACTCATGCTGCAGTGGCTACCCATAGCTCGATAGCGCTGAGACTTAACCCTTTGTGCCACCAGGGAGGCCCCCATGGAATCTGATTTTTTGATAGCTTACCCCTCCCCTCTCTCACGTAAGTAACAACATAATGGTACAGGAAGCTTTGAGGAACAATCAGATAATAATCTGATAGAAGATTCAGTAGTCTGGCCTGCAGGTGGTTTCTGCTTATGGGCTACATGTAGAAGGAAAAATCAAAGAATGTCAGGAAGTCTGCCATGTAGTCTAATGTATTCTGGAGGTTATATTCTCAGGTGAATAAAGGAGGCCCAGAATTCAACCTGGTCCTACCTACCAGTTAACTCTCATCTCTTATCCTCACCTCCAGTTCTACATGAGTCCAGCCAAATGCAACTACTCAAAGTTTCCTGTACTTTGCTCCTGGGCCTCTGCACATCCAGCTTTCTGTGTTTAACATCATTTCTCTCCTGGGCTCCTATAACACCCTATACTTACTGCTCTGGTAGCACTCATAACACTAAGATTACCTGCTTACTATTTGTATGTCTGTAAACTCCACCAATGCAGGAACCATGCTTTTTTTTCATGCAAATTTGTATCCCTACAGTGTATCCCTACAGTGGTATATAGTTGTATATACTATATAGGGGTATAGTTGTATCCCTACAGTGTAGAAGGTGCTTGAAAAATATATTAAAAGTTGCAACAAGGGCCTCCCTGGTGGCACAAGGGGTTGTCTCAGCACTATGAAGCTATCCGCAGCCACTGCAGCACTCCTTTGATCCCAGGCCAGGGAGGTGACCCACATGGCACAGCAGGCCTCTCCTGTCTCACCTGCTGCTCCCCTCAGCAGTGTATTTCTTTTTTTAAAGATTTATTTATGCATACAAGAACTGAGGTACAGGCCAGAGGTGCAGGGAGTGAGAGGATTCACCGGAAACATAAAGGGGAACAGAACTGGCTGACTGAAATACACTACTGAGGGGAGCAGCAGGCAAGGCAGGAAAGGTCTGCTGTGCCATGTGGGTAGCTCCCTGGACTGCCGGGGGTCAAACTCATGCTACAGAAGCTGCGGATAGCTTCATAGTGCTGTGCTTAAACCCTTGTGCCACCAGGGAGGCCCTCAGCAGTGTATTTCAGTAGATCTGCCTGTTCTGCTCCCCACTTTCTCTGGTGAATCCTCTCACCCAACCCCCCACCCCCTTCGCACCTCTGGCCTACACTCCAGCTCTTTAGTGCATAAGCAAATAAAATAAATCTTAAAATCTTCAAAGGAAGGATTTGAAATTCATTCAGGCTGAAATGTAAATAATCCAGTGTAGGTCGGAAAGATTATTTTCCCCGGGCAGTCTAGTTTTTAGAATAGGTCCTTAAACTATAGAGGCTGCTGTAGGCTCAAGCTAGAGACTTGGCTGAAAGTTGGTGAACTGGAATCTGCCCCTAGCTATCACTGACTTGGCTTGTGATGCTCTCTAGGTTTCAGTTTTCCAATCTGTGAAATGGTGATAAATATTCCGACACAGAGAGAATAGATGTGAAAGCAGCGGGAAAACGTAACAATCTATCAAGAAGACTAATAGGAATGAAACTAACTGTAGAGCTTTGAGAGGCAAGTGTATGCAGGTCACTTAGGGTCAGGACCCAGAATGAGTGCGCCTGTGGGGAGTCCCTGCTGACTCTGAGACCACCCTGGTGTCTTCCAGCTTGGAAGGAAAGGGTCAGTGCAAGCCCCATAGTTTCCTACATCTCCAGAGTTAGCGTTTGCTTTTTACTTTAATGCTATTCCCTTGTCTCATTTCATCAGATGAAAAAACGAACCCATACTGAAGGCGTTTCGGATCACCCAGGGTGTCAGGAATTTGAGGATTCACTTTCGGGAGCCCCATGCTTGTGACAGGGGCGTATCTTAAGCACCCCAAACCTGTGTAAGCTTGTAGCTCAGCGCCCGTCCTCCCCTCCGCGGGCCAGTCTATTCTCCGGGGAAGTTAACTCGTTCTCCGAGCTGGGAGGAGGAGGGGGGCGGGGTCTCGGGTCTCGGGAGAAAGGAAGCTGGGGCGTTCTGTGTGCCCCTCCCACCGCCACAGAGCTCGAGTCCCTCCGAGCCGGTTTCCTGTTTTCCCTCCCGACTCACCCGCAGCCGCCTCTCCTCTAGCCTCAGCGTCCCACTGCCTCCGCGTTACTCAGCGCAGCTCCATGGTAACTACCTCGGCCGCCCAGCCCCGGCCGGACGCTCCAGGCGCTGCCGCGGTGCCTCCTGGGAACTGTAGTTCGGGGGCGGGGCTCCAAGGCCGCGGGCCGGGGCCCGGAAGTAGCGATACCCCTTATCCCTTCCCGGTGGCCCTCGCACTTCCCCTCCCGCGTCCGCCGGCGTGCCCTTGCTGGAGACGCCAGCCCGCGGGAGCCAATCAGAGGACGGCGCGAGGGGGCGGAGCCAGAGTTTAAACTAATTGTGCGCCCGGAGCGCTCGCGCGAGCCGGCGGCGGAGGACGCGCGGGGGAAGCGCGAGGCGCGGCGGGAGCGCGCGGCCAGGTAACCGGCGCGGGCCCGCGGCTGGCGTGCGGCCTGGGGGCCTGCAGGGATGCCCAGACCTAGAGAGGGTGCTGCGGAGGCGGGTGCGAGCGGAAGGCCTCCTCGGTAGCCGAGTCTGACTGGGGAGGATCTTTGGGGGTAAGGCTTGTGAGCTGGGGGCGGGGGAGGGCGGGGAGGGGGGGGCCTGCTTGGGGGCGTGTCTGTCGCGAGGCAACGAGCGGGGTGCGCGCGAAGGGGGTGCAGGTGCTTGCAAGGCTTGTAACCGAGAGGTCCTGCCATGGGAGGGCTTCACCCTATGGTTAACAATAGTAGTGGTGGACATTGCCGAGCGCCAAGTGCGTTTCGGACATTGCCGAGCGCCAAGTGTGTTTCAGACACTGCCACACCCTGTACGAGGATCGTTTTTTAAAACTGTCCACACACCCTTGTTGTACCTTATCACAGGTGAGGAATCCGAGGTGTGTGAACTTGAGCTTGGCCGGGGTTGCGCAGCCGGGGCGTGAGAGGCTGCGCTGTACTTGTTGAGTGTTGGAGGGTTGGGCCTCAGTGAGGACGGGAAGGGGCTGTGTTTGGGGGGGGGGGGCATTTAATTTATTCTGCACCTCATTTTTCATATATGTAAACAATGAATTTGCTTGCCTTACGTACTTCCTGGGGTTATTGTGAGGGTCAAATGAGGTAAGGTGTTTGGTGGAAGCATCGTGGAGACTACAAATATGTGACTATTAAAGAGCGTGACTAGGTCAACGCTCTCTCCTCTGGACGCCCTCTTTTGCTGTGTGTGTGTGTGTGTGTGTGTGTGTACGTGCATGTGTGTGCATACACATATATATTTATTTTTAACATAGGGCGTTTCATCCTGTGTTTTGCTGTCTGCACGTTTGCTCTTCTGGATATAGTTTCTTTGTCCTTGAATCCTGATGCCCGCGCAGGATATGAAATCTGTAATGGCTGTTAATGGATGCTTTGCAGTGAATGAGCTTTCTTGGTCTAAAAGGAGTGAGGAGCCTGACTTCCCATCTTTATTTAGTGTTTTGAAACCTCTATGTTAGCTGTCCTCTTGCCTGCAGTGGCATTGCCTCCTGAAATGTGATGTTTGCTGCTTTAATCCGTGCTTCTCTCTCTCCGGTGTCTGGTGTTTCCCAAGTTTGGGGTTGTCAGATATGTCACCCTGTAATAGGCGGAAACCTTGGGTCTGCGCTTTCTCTCCCTGTGGATCTCTCTCTTCAGTCGGCAGGGGTAAGTGTAAGTGTCCCCTTCCTCTCAGTTGCTGTGGAGTATTTTCTTCGTTAGAGGAGGAAGCACATACTTTAATGTAAAAGGTTCCAAGGTACTCTACCTGGGCCAGGTTGAAGCAAATGTTGCCTTCATTGTAATTCCTGAATCTTAGTCTAAAACCAAAGACTGTCCTTCCCCGAAAATAGAAGCTCAGACCCAGAAACTTCTAAGAAACATCTCTATTTAGAATGTTCTTTTTTTTACTTACCAAACATGGAAGTGGGAAGAATTCCTTGAACTAAGAATTGAGTTCTAGAGCCAATAAGATGGGTGCAAAACTCTGCCTGAGATGGCTAAATGAGCTGATCAGGGAATGATTTAAAAGCTATGTCTAATTGATAACACCTGATGACCCGTAGGTATGTTGAGGGTCGTTTATTCTTTAGTTTCTTTCCAAGATCTCATATTTAACTTGTGTTGGATCTGAACATTTTATTCTCTGTATCTTTTTCTTTCATAATTCCCGTCTCTATATTTTCTTTCTTTTTTTTTTTAATTTTTTTTTTTATAGAGGCATTTATTTATTTATTTATTTGTTTGTTTGCTTGTTTGTTTGTTTATACATGCACTGGGTACAGTCAGAAGCACGGGAGGGTGAGAGAATTCACCAGAGCCAGAGCGGGGAGCAGAGCAGGCAGAAGGACCGAAGTACACTGCTGAGGGGAGCAGCGGGCGGCAGGAGAGGTCTGCGCGCCATGTGGGACCCTCCTCCAGTGGCCGGGGAGCAGTCGGGGATCGAACTGGTGCCGCAGAGGCCGCGGGCAGCTTCGCAACCCAGCGCTCAACCGCTGCGCCACCGGGGAGGCCCCCGTCTCTATATTTTCTGTGTTACCTTCTGGGTAATTTCTTTTCTCCTAGCATACTAACTAGCATACTTATTTACTCTTCTGGTAGATCTAATTTGCTTTTTTTTTTTAAAGATTTGTTTATTTCATTTTTTATTTTTTGTGGGACCCTCACTGGCGCTGCTGGGGAATGAACCAGCACTGCAGAGGCTGTGGGCAGCCTTGCAGCCCAGCGCTCAACTGCTGAGCCACCAGGGGAGGCCCTAAAGATTTATTTATTTATGCATGCAAGAGCTGGGGTGCAGGCCAGAGATGCAGGGGGTAAGAGGATTCACCAGAGACAAAGGGGGAAGCAGAACAGGTGGATCTACTGAAATACACTGCTGAGGGGAGCAGCGGGCGGGACAGCAGTGGTCTGCTGCACCATGTGAGTTAGCTCCCTGGTTGGGCATTGAACTTGTGCTGTGGTGGCTGGCAGTTGCTTCACAGTGCTGAGACTTAACCTTGTGGGCCACCAGGGACTCCCCCCTTATAATAATTTTAAGTACACTTCTGGTCTATTTTTCAATTATCTGAAGTTCTGGGGGCTATAACTGCCATTTGTTATGACTGACTTGTTCATGATGAATTGGTTCCTCAGGTGTTTTGTATTGTGAGCTCATTTTCAGTGAAGTATTGTCTTAAGTAACCTTATGTAGCTTGTATTGAGCTCAGTTCTCCCAAGAACAGGTGTTTTCCTTTCGTTTGATCAGTTTTGTTTAGGTGTAATTTATATACAATAAACTTTTTTTTTTAAAGATTTATTTATGCAACAAGAACCGGGGTACAGGCCAGAGGTGCGGGAGCATGAGAGGATTCAGCAGAGACAGAGTGGGGAACAGAACAGGCAGACTGACTGAAATACACTGCTGAGGGGAGCATTGGGCAAGCCAGGAGAGGTCTGCTGCGCCGTGTGGGTATCTCCATGGCTGGTGGGGATTGAACCGGCACTGTAGAGGCTGCGGGCAGCTTCACAGCACTGCGTTCGACCACCTGCCTGTGCCACCAGGGAGGCCCCATGTACAATAAACTTATTTAAAGTAGGAAGAGTTTTAACTTATGATTTAAAAGCGATCATAATTAAAATACAGATCATTTCCGTCACTCCCAAAAGTTTCCTGTGCCTCTTTGCCTTCAGTCTTTGCCTTCACCTTGGCCTCAAGAACCACTTAGAGGATTAATTTGCATTTTCTTTTCCTTTTTTAAAAGATTTATTTATGCATACAAGAACTGGGGTGGAAGCCAGAGGTGTGTGTGTTGGGGGGTGGGTAGTGGTGGTGAGAGGATTCACCAGAGAGAGTGGGGAGCAGAGCAGGCTGATGTACGGAAATACACTGCTGAGGGGAGTAGCTGGCAAGGCAGGAGAGGTCTGTTGCGCTATGTGGGTTGCTCCCCTGGCTGTGGTGGGATTGAACTCATGCTGCAGTGGCTGGCAATAGCCTGATAGTGCTGTCTTTAACCCCTGCGCCACCAGAGAGGCCCCTAGTTTGCATTTTCTAGATTATTTTTTTTGGGTATAAACAACAGAAATTTATTCATTTTTATATATGTACCCAAAAGAGCAGGTTTATTATAAAAAGAGAAGGGAAGCAAAGAACACAGATACAAGCAGGTAGAAAGATATTTACAGAGATACTTAACAACTAGTACCTTCCAGGGACAGATTTGTTAAGAGAGGCCTGGGTAGTCACAGGTGGGCAGCTTTGGGAGGAGAGCTGCCTCTGCTCTTTGCAAGGGGAGATGGTGAAGAGAAGCACCTGTGTCTTCACAGGCAGGCAGGAGAGTTGCAGAAATTTATTTCTTATGGTTTTTCAGGCAGAGAATTCCAAGATCCAGGCACCAGCATGGTAGGGGGAGAGCCTTTTTCCTGGTTCATATTTGGCACCTTCTTGATATATTCTCACATGCTTGAAGGACTCTAGAATTTTCCATAGTGGAATCATACTGTGTGGACTCTTACATCAGTCCCCCCCCCACCCCATGTAGTATATTACATTTGAGATTTATCTACTTAGTTGTTAAGTATCAGTAATTTGTTACTTTCTTCCACTGAGAACTTATCTAGTAAATTCTGGTTAAGTCCTTGGAAAATTGGACATTAAAGGAATGAAAAGCATGTCCTTGAATAATGTCATTTAGTTCAGAATCAACCAGGATTGTTTTTTTCTCATCCATGCTATAACAAAGTTGAACAAAATGTTACATGAGGACCTACTGTATTCCATTGTGTGGCGATATCATATAATTTAATCAGTCATGTTAAAGGACTTTTTAAAAGTCCACTCACCCCTGGATTTTTAGATTGTTTCCATTTTTTGGGCTACTGTGAATAAAGTTTCTGTGAGCATTCATTTACAAATTTCTTTTTGTAGTGGAATGACTGGGTTGGATGACAGGTATATGTTTATTTATTTATTTATTTATTTAATCTTTTTTTTTTTAGAGGCATGTTATTTATTTATTTGTTTGTTTGTTTGTTTTGTTTGTACATGCAGTGGGTACAGTCAGAAGCGCGGGAGGGTGAGAGAACTCACCAGAGCCAGAGCTGGGAGCAGAGCAGGCAGAAGGACTGAAG